ATAGCTTAGATGCTGTATGAGGCTCCAAAATATGAAAAAAAGGGGGTTCTGTCTAGCAGCACACTTAAGAGGGGGGAAAGCAAGAAGAGAAGAAAAAAAATCAGGTTGTCTTTTTTGTGATATAAGATTCTGGTTGTTTGTGCTGGTTTAAATCCCAGGCAATTCCATCATTGGTATGTTCTGAATTCACAAAAATGACACTGTGGTTTGAATCTTTGCAGAAGCTCTCTGTGCTAGAAATGTAGGAAAAGGCAAATTTCAGCTAAAGAATGTTGATACGAAGATGAAAGACAACAGGTATACAGTGACTCTCTTTGCCATGATCACTCTAGATTAGATAGTACATGAGAAACAAAATAGACTTAAGACATTTCTAGCAGGTCATTTGTGGCTGAATTACAATTAAAACACATTTTTCATGTGACTTCCTTGTGTGTGAACATAAAGAGCTCCTTCAAATTACTGATTATTTCTGGTTTACTTTTTTGGACTTCAGCCATGATTACCGTGTTGAATTTTCACATGAATGAGTGTGCTGGCAACGAGGTGACCTTCCCAGTGCAGCTTTGAGCTTTTTTTACTCTCTTCCTGGGAGCAGATGCATTACTGCTGTGGCCTAATGCATCTCGCTCAGGAGTTCAAAGTTCTTTTCTGGGTGAACTTGTGGTCTGAATGTTTTACCCATGGAATATTTTCCCTCCTGCTGTCACAGGCAAAGTATTAAGCAACCTTCCCAGCTCCTCTGTGCTAACACAGCTCTTGTGTTGCAAATGTGACCTTTGGTTATTCTGGCTGGGCCTCCTATGTTGAGATTATCAATTATTTGCCAGTTTCTTCATGTGTACAAACATTGAGTTTTCCAGACCTATTTAGTTGAGATACTCCCTTTGTAATTTATACTTCTAGAGTAAAACTTGTCAAACAAGGGCAACGTTGTTCACAGACTTTTGGGAGGTAAATTTTGTACTGGCATTAGAGGATGCGGGCATGAAATATTCTGTTTCCTCCACTTTCTTTTTTTTTCAAGTCCCACTACGTAAAGAACAGAAGTAACTTGCACTAAGTATTTGCAGAGACATATGTCAGTTTTCCTGTGACACGTTAGCCTTGATGTGTTAAACTTTTTTCATTTCTGAAACAGGAAAATTTTATGAGAGAAAAACAATTTGTAATGTTTATGGATAAAGAAATAAAACCAGAATCCATTTGAATCTAGAAATTGATAGAAAGTGATTAAAATATGTCCCTGTATTCTTATGGCTTTAGAGACCACAGGACTAGGTGATGCATGCAGACAGCATGAAGGTTTGTTCCGGTATTAACTTATAAACAGCCCCATGCATAGCTACCACAAGCTTGCACAGAGCTCTGCCAGTTCTCTTGAGCCCACAGTTTCAGTTCCATCTGCATTGATGCTGCAAGTGGCAAGGTGAAGGTGGAATCAGCTGGCATTGCTTTCATTTCCTTGGAAGTTCAGTCCAACTTTCAAAAGCCTGGGAAGCTCATTTGATGACCTGTAGAGACTTCTCTTCCTGTGTCTTCCATCTACAAATTCTGCTGTGGGTTAGTTGGCACCTGCATGCCCACTGTCAGCCATCCAGTTTTCGTTCAGTTATTCCAGTTAGGTAGAATCCAGTTGTTAAGAAATTTGCTTGAGTGGTTAAGGCATAAATGTATTGTGCTAGTCACAGCTTGGTTGTGGTGTTGGTTGGTTGGTTTGTTTTGTCTTGGTATAACTTCTAGTAAGCAAAGGTAACTATTGAGGCAGATGCTTGGGCTGGGAATCACTTGCCAAAGAGTAGGTGCTGGTACTGTGTGAAAGCCCATCTGTGACCTTCAGCTGTACTCCTTTAGGGGATAAAAAAAGTGTTGGGGGCAGGGAGGGCAAGTCTCGCATCCTCACAGAGCTGGCAAATATAATGCAGAGTAAAAGTTCTGGACATTTTGGCCATCTCAAATACTACTAGCCACCTAGTTTAGACATCTGAACTGCTCTGTTAATCTTACTGTCTAAAGGTTACATGCCTGATTCTGAAGGATAGAAAATCTTTTAACTAGAGCCCCAGTTGCAAGGAAATGGTGTTTAAAGGATTATTTTGGCAAAATAATTAAGTAATTTTGAGAAATGCATGCTTTTGCAAAGGCCCTTTTAAAAGTGAAGAAATCATGGGCCGTGGACGAGCATGAGCATTCGTGGTTTTGAAAGGATCTATTTACCTTGTAACTTGTCAAGTGAGCTAGGTGGAACTTGGTTCATTGTTCTGATGAGAACATCCCTTGTGATCTTGCTAAGTCTAGACTGATAAATGTGCTAGCCTTGGTAGTTGCAGCTTTTGTGGTACTTCTAGCTCATGTTCTGTTTGGCACATGTTCACACCAACTCACCCACTGCATTTTCTCTAGTTGTTAAGGTCTCTCTGGCCTCCAGATGTTTTCTGTAAACTAAACTCCTCTAACTAAAGATTGTATGAGAACATTGATAGAGGGAAGTTTGAAAGGTCAGCTACATATCATTGCAGTGATATTAATGGATTTTAACTTTTTTTTTTCTTCCCCCCCTCATTCTAGGAGTGCTTTAATTCTCCATATGGAACCCAGTACTTTAAGGAGTATGCAGAGAAGATCCCTGGGGAATCGACACAAAAGCTCTCAGAAGTTGCAAAGGAGTGCAGTATATATCTCGTTGGAGGTAGTTTATTCTTAGTGACCCTCTTATTGAGGGGAAAAATGGGCAATGTCTGTTAGTGCCATTGGATCAAAATTCTGTATAAATACAGTGGGGGAAATCCTTGTTCTTGCATTTATTAAGGATCCATTCCAGAAGAGGATGGTGGAAAGCTGTATAACACATGTACTGTTTTTGGGCCTGATGGTGCGATGTTAGCAAAGCATAGGAAGGTAAGATGGAAAAATATTGTTATTAAAAGGTTTCTCAGCAGTGTTGCACAAACGACTTCATCTGTGCCTAAAGGTGATATGAATTAGTAGAATCTTGCATTAATAATAAGCTGTGTACTGTCAGTAAAATGGCATGTAATTTCTATTTGGGGACATGTAAGCACCCCTTCCAAAGGTGATCATAAACTTGTTCTGGAGAAGGATGACAAAATCCAGAAGGCATAACTGGCATTTCCCAGATGCTGGGAGAACTGTGGTTAAGAGTAAATCCAGATCCAACTCATCTGTGTACCTTGGTCTAGGTCTAAAACATAGTACCACTTAAGTGGGATCAGGATTTCCTCTCAAGTTCCCAATGGATTTAGTCCTTCTGTTACCATAAATACTGTTCTTTACATACTTTGTGTGCTATATGTTATGATTAGTGCAGAAAACTGAAGTCCAAGTTCCCTGTTTAAGCTGTGTCTGCTGTTTGTGGTAGATGCTTGCTTACTGTCATCTTCCAGTGGGACGTTGCTTTGTGCCTTCTGAGAAACTATCTCCTGTTCATAACTATGGAGTGTGGCTTCTGTTAATCTGACTGTGCATACAGGTATCGTTCCTTAGGTGAGCAACAGCTTATTTCTTTCAAGGAAAAACAAAAAAAGAGAATGCAAGGTTACTTGGAACAAATGAAGTAGTGCAAAGTACCTCTGGGGTGCAGGTCTTAATTCATTCTGTAACTGATTCTACACTTAGCTACACTCTTAGGTCCCTTTCTGAAGTACCATGTTGCCTTCCATCTAGCATACCGCACCAGTCTGCAAGCCCAGTAGTTGTTTGAGTATAATGAGTGGAGGCTTATACTATGTAAATATGAACGAATGCTAATACAAAAACAGCTGTATTATTAGGAAGCTCTGGTCGGGAACAGAATCTTCTGTTGCAAGGGAGAAAAACTGTCTGCAGGGGCTAAGAGGCATCTGCATAGCTGAACTCGTGGGAACTTTGACTTGGTGAAGGTATTTTCTGGAGAAGCTTTGCAGGAATGGGACTCAGATCTTAGAGAGGAAAATATCACCAGCTTTAACATACTTTAAAATTGTCCTGACAAATTCAAGATATTTTATATGTATCCTTTCTTTTGCAAAATTACTCATTAGATCAAGATACCTAGGTATTTTGCAGGGATTCTTTCCATGAAGAAGACATAGAGCCATACTACAAATTGTTATATTTGTAACTATTTTGAACTACTCTCTATTTCTGTATGGGAGAAGGAAAGGGAATTCTATTTGGTAAGCAAGATAAATGTTTGATATGTGCGCCACTTGGATCACAGGGATTATATATGTTGTTTAAAATGGCCAGTCTTTTTTTTTTTCCTAATAACTTTAGACATGTATTTCTGTAAAGAAGAAAACTGCTTTAAATAATCTTTGAGGTCTCACAATCTTAAGTAATGCTTAGTTGGGATCCTGACAAAAGAATAGTTTAGATAATGGTAACTAGAAAACACGTGCATAATAGAAAGAGGCTAAAATACAAAGCAGAGAAATTGTTACTAATTGTTGTTATTTATACTGTGATTACAGGTTCATTTGTTTGATATTAATGTTCCTGGGAAGATACAGTTCAAAGAATCTGAAACACTGAGTCCAGGGAATAGTTTCTCCATGTTTGATACTCGTGAGTATAAGACAAGCCCTCTCTTCAAGGAGCTCTAGCACAATAACACTACAGTCATTCTGGAGTTCTCTTCCCCCTCTGCCTCCCCAGCAATGGATTTTTAGACTATCAGATTTATATTAGGCATTTGATAACCATGGCAAATGTAGTTTGTTCCAAGTGCTTGGGTCACTTCTGAAACTCATAAAAAGGCAATGTGATTGCAAAAGGACAGAAGAGTAGAAAAGATTTGAAGCATATGTCATGGCACTTCCCTTAATAAATAGTGGAGGTATTGATTAGTTAAAGAGGCGTTACTGTATTATAGTAATTCCATCTTTAAAATGGTTCTTATAAAACATGTCTTGCAGAAGAATATATGTAGCAAACGGCTACACTGGCACCTTGATTCATGTGAGGACGATATAATAATGGAGACAATTTACTGTAAATCCCATTCCTACAATCTTGAATCAACCACATCAGATTAAAAAGCAAGACACCTACTCCCCTACCTCGGGGTTCAAAAATTAGCACGTGCTGTTTACTGAGCTCTCAGTCTCTGTCTCCCATGGTTGTTTTTTTCCTCCTTGCAATGTGCATGCTGTAAGAAAGTATATGTCTGTAGTTTCTTTAATCTGTGAAGAGCAGTGAGTGCTTTCTTTTCTTGAAAATAAAATAATGGAAAAACCTGCAGCTAAATCAGAGAGGACACATTACACAAAGACCTGATACAACATGATTTTGTGGAAATGGCTGTTTTTAAAGGGTAGATAAGACTGCTTCTCACAGTCTTCCTCTCAGCACAAAGCATGAATTCTCCCCCACAAATAGCTAATGCTTGTTACAGACAAGGATACACATTTAAATATAGCTCCTTTTGTTACTGTGAGACATATAAACTAACAGCTGGCAGGTTGGCTACAGGGAGCCTTGTGATTGCTTTTGTGTACTTGTGATAGTGATATGACTGTTGTCTCTTGTGTTTGAAAACAGCATACTGTAAAGTGGGCCTGGGCATCTGCTATGATATCAGATTTGCTGAGATGGCTCAAATCTACGGACAGAAAGGTGAGGCTGGGTCACCTGATGGAGCATGGTTAGCTCTGAGGGCTGTTTCAGGATGGCACATACTGGGCAATCTGTGTGATTCTTCTCCTTGCGCAGTAGCACAAAATGAATCTTGTGGCCAAGATGCTGTTATTCAAATGAGTGTCTGTTCTCCTTGAGTAAAGTAACATACACACATTTCCTGCTACACACATTTGCTGATGGAATGATGAAGACGGGTATTTCCCCTTCCTTGGTAATGTACTGCAGGGCTTTGCTGACGTAAGTAGTCACCCGTGTTGTGCGTGGACAGGCTCTGTTTGGTTCCATTTAGGCAGAGGTCGGGAAGTACTGAAAGAAACCTCACCTTGAGTCTCAATGTGAAGGGCCACTCTGGGTAAGCCATCTTCCTCTTAATGATGGTTGGCTTCTAATTTTCTTTTAACAAAGGTTGCCAGCTGCTGATATATCCAGGGGCTTTTAACCTGACAACAGGGCCGGCTCACTGGGAACTGCTACAAAGGGGACGGTAAGAACAAAGTAACAGCTTATCCTCCTGTTCCAGGGGCAGTCTTAGCATCTTGAACTGGACCATTGTGTTCAAATGACGCTATGCCTCAGAAGTGGTGTTACAGGGCCACTCTGTTTTTGGAGCTGCACCATTTGTCAGGCCTTGCATGGCATGGCATGCCAAAATGATTTTGCTGTCAAAGGGAAAAACAGGAAATTCCTTCATTATCCTTCACTGCTGCCAGCCCCTCTGCAGTTATGCCCTTTCAAGGACCTTTACCCCATGGCTCTGGAAGCACCTTTCACAAACAAACTTCTAGACAGAATAGCCAGTAACCATTTGAGAGCTGCTCTAATTACAAACAGAAATAGACCCTGAGCTTCCTGAATGCAGTATTATATATTCTTTAGGTCAGCTTCAATCAACTTGGCTACATGCTGAATGAACGTGTAATTCATCCTACCCGCTAACTCTGGAGCAGGTGCTAGAGACTTCTCTTTCCAGGCTCTGCTTTCTCTGACCTTCATATCACTTACAATTTTGGCTGGTCCTTAGGGAAGATATATACGTTGCGCTTCAGAGTGAATTCTTTCTCTTCTGCTTAGTTAATTGGTGGTATAAAAAAATTTATACTCAAGTTTTCCTCCCACTTTCCTTCATCTTTCTGTGAACACAGAGCTGTTGATAATCAAGTCTACGTAGCTGCAGTATCTCCTGCTAGAGATGAAAAAGCATCCTATGTTGCCTGGGGACACAGCACTGTAGTAAATCCATGGTGAGTTCAGAAAAAAAAACAAACCTACCTTTTCTTGGTTTAAAAAATACATTTTACTTGACAGTCACATTTCAGTCCCACATTTCCATCTGCTCTTAAAAATGTCATAAGTTATTGGTAAAAAGCGTCCGAGACTTAAGCCTACATTCTCAAACTCATCCTTTAAACCTGCCTGACTGAAAAATAAGAGACTAAAACTAGTTTAACAGTATGTATTCTTTTTGGTAGCCAAGAAGCTACTTAATACTAGTATTTAGCATTAGTTGAGCTGCTGACATTTTCAACTTGTCCCTGAAGTTCAGTCCACTATATGCTATGCACTATGGTAATTCTCTGTACAGCTTACCCCAAACCATTTCACTTCCTCAGACACCACAAATGGTTTGACCTAAGAACATGAAGAATGTCCTCAGCTAGCTAAGAGACATATTCTGACTTAAGCAGAAGTCATGCAGGTGCACAGGAGGTAAAAATGACCAAATTTTCAGGCAGTTGTTTTTCTTTCAAATAAATCCACTGATCCAATCAGCTTCCAGATGATTGCAAAGTAAGAAAAGCTTTATCTATGTCTTGAGCTTTATATGCTGAAAGCAGTGGCAGAACACCTAGCAGGAGACATGCTAAATAATGTTCAGTTGTTCATGCAGAGTAAAAGTGTGCTCCTACCAAAAGCCAGTAGGATCTGAAGGAGAAGGTCTTAGTCTTTGTTGTAGATGGTTGTCCCTGGTGAAGTTGTTTCCTTCCCCTTGAGATACACTGCATGCTCGCATGCACTGGTTCTCACGGTTGCTCCTACCATGATCTTCTGAAACATGTTAAGTATGTATATGTCACATGTAAAATGTGCCATGTGTAAAGTCTGGAAGCCACTTCTGTCATGCCAGAGTTATGAATTATGATGCTGTTTTTAGGACAGCCCTGTCTTTACAGCTGTAGACATGAAGGGTAGGAACTCCCTTTTGTACGAACAGCAGCAACTGCACTGATGCCTTGAGACCTCTGTTAATGCTGTGAACAAATGTGCTTAATTTTGCAGGGGTGAAGTCATAGCCAAAGCTGGGGCTGAGGAAACAGTTATATACACAGATATAGGTAAGGGTAAAGGTTGGGTTTTTTTTTTTTTTCTGCTTGTGTTCTTGAGTAAAGGTCATGAGATTAAGGAGACGGTTTAACTCTGTGAGCTTGCACATGCAATTACAGATGATGCAGTGTTCATCCCTTCTCCACCTTTGCTAGACAAAAGCAAGAACAAGCAGCACTTGACTATGCTTTTCCAGTTTCACTAGTTGTGAGGAAGCTGCCACCTTAGGAAAGAGCAAAGTTGAAGCTTCCTTCAGCCTCGGCTGCCCAGCTGCAGTGCCCTACAGCCCCCTTCTCCATGAAAGCTGCCCTTTTCTCTGCCTTACCTCAGAGCAAGTTGGGAGCTTTCATTTTTTTGACTGCTGTTCTAATAGCTTACTTCTTTCCCCTGCAGATCTGAAGAAACTTGCAGAAATACGTCAGCAAATTCCTATTTTAAGCCAGAAGCGTTGTGATCTCTATGGCATAGAGATGAAAAAGTGAAGCTGGGTGAACAGGGAAGGTTTAGTTGGCACAATGGCTGCTGCTTTCGTCTTCGGAAGGATTCCCGTACTAGTTGCTCCACAATCTACAGCTAAATGTGCTGATTAATTGAAAAACCAGACTTGGTGGTGTAATTCTAAAGTCGATTCAAATAAACTTTTATATCTCCTCTCATACTTTACTATTTCATACTATTTTACAGCTAGGATAAAGACAGAGGTGAAATCAGTTGCACACAGTGGTAGTAGTTAACATTGGTTTATATGCATCACAATGTTTTAGTTACCTTTTTGGAGCTTTTTTTGTAGAACATGGAAATGAGAACCTTGTTCTCTCTGGAGTCCTTTGAAGTCAGCTTTGGTATTAATTTTTCAGTGAATTATCAGATAATCTAGAAGCATGATTCTTCCACCCCTATCCTTCTTAGTTGTATGTGCCTTAACAAAGTTCCTTGAATGTCCAACTTCTAACTTGAAAAGCTTAAATTTTAACACACTAACCAAAACAGGCCAAAATTCTACCCTGTACTACTTAGGGACAATGCAAGAAGCTGCCCAACAGATCTACTACTATAGAAAATTTATGTGTCTTGTCTGGAATATATGTATTAAATTGAATTTTCCTTATTGCAATTCCTATTTAGTGCTGAAGTGATACAGGTTACTTTTTTGTTAAAGCAATTTCACATGTCACCACACCTTTGCTCTATATACTGCTTCCTTAATATGTCTGAATGGGCTTTAATTCTGCTGCCTGGCAGTCTTTATCTGAAAAGGCTGAGGGGAGTCAGTCAAAAGGGTTAGCAAATATGTTGCACTGATGAAGTCTTTCTGCCCACAGACTTCCAGAAGACAGGTACTAAAATTGCTCAATGTTTAATTGCATTATTGCTACCAACTGAGAACTCCCCTCAGCTGCATGGGAACACTTCATTGTTCTTGCTGAAGAGACTAACAAACTGATGATTAAAGATGGCTTTAAAATATTTAACACCAGCCTACCATTTTGGTTGTTGGTTTTTTTTTTTGGTGTTTTTTGGGGTTTTTTTGGTGTGGTTTTTTTTTTTTTGTTTGTTTCTTAGAAGGAAGACATGTTTGTACTCCTAATATAAAAAGATTTTTTTTCTCCTTGGTTGAAAAAAAGAACTAACTAACAATCCAGCCTTTACCACGAGACAGCATGGGGAAACAAAAGTTTGCCAGCAGCAAAAATGATAAAGCAATAAGGCTAAAGGAGATTTCAAAATACAGAAGGAAGGACAGAGAAGTTTTGTCTTGCTCTAGCTAACTACCAGTTTTCCCCAAAGTCACTGTACCTTTTTATTCATGTTTGGCCATCTTCCTTTTCCCACAGCTGCTTTCTTGCCTGTTTGGGGTTTTTTTAACCTTCTTTTGGCTTCTGTGGAATGAGCTGGGTGTCTGTATTATAGAGGAAAATTAATGGTTAAATTAAGCCAAACCTGGAGGTGTCTTTCCCCTTAAAAGACAGGTCACACCATTCCACTCAGTGTAGTCTTATCTATTCCAGCAGGCATTTTTGGTGTGTCCTTTTTGCTGCATTTTGGTGTACATATTTTACTGGAACTCTTAAGAAACAAGCCACAGAGCATAAGGTGAAATTAAGATTTATTTGTTTAAAAATAAATATAAAAAAATTAACAATTTGCCATTTGAGTAAAGTCTCCTCCAGTAATTAGTGCCTCCCACATAATAATTGGCATTCATGATGGCCATCACTGGGCTCCAACTCCTAAATCATAGCAACTATTATACATCCATTTTTCTAAACTACTCCATCAGTCTTTCCCTCCCCTCTCTATACTAGCTGAACATGCAGCAGAGCAGGAACTAAATACTGCCTTTGGAGGATTAAAGTAGTGCAGGATTCCCATGAGCTGATCACATAATTTTAAAAATGCAAAGTGCAGTCTGCAACAGACCTTCCTTCCCTGGAATCCCAAACAGAGAGAACAGATGAAAATCTGTAGCAAGCTACTTTGGTGAACTCAGCTGAAGTGGTGAGCTCAGTCCTCTTCAATCTGTCAGGAAAATTTCTAAGCACCGTGTTTGAGTAGGATGTTTCAGGGTCTCCAGTATGATGCACTCAGAAGTGATACAAAGGGGACTGTGAATTTTTGGGGGTTTCAATGAAAAAAGTAGACAATCAGTTCTCAGCTAGATAATACTTAAAGCAGTCAATCTCTGAGTTGGCAGAAGCAGGCACTTCACGTATCCATATTCTACATGTGCACCGGTATTGTGTAAGTATAGAAAACCAGCCAGTCACAGCCCTGAAATAGCTCCAGAATTTCAGCCTGCAAGGATTTAAATTCTTTGTAAAGAAATGTCAGAAAACACAGTAATGCCTGTTTTATCAGGCAGTGTTGGTACCACGGGAGCTGGGAAGGCTGGTTAAAGCTCCATCTAAGCTGCTCTTAGTAGTTCCACAGTAAGTTACAGTATTGCTCCTTAATAGATGTTAGTTCCTTCTTCACTTTCAATCTGCAATTAGATCCTAGTAATTCAAGTCACAGCTTCTAATCTCCCTTTTGGCAAACTTGTCTCTTACATGAACAACATGGATTTTACATCATCAGAATTAAGATGCAAGACAACTCTGTGTAGAAGCAAGTTCCCATAGTCTCCAGAATACACCATGTGTATCCAAGTCTTCAGTACTAGCTTCCTACCTTTCACCAGATTTATTTTTTTTCAATAGCAGCAATACTTGTTTCACCTTCAGCTCTTGATCCTTACTAAAAAAAAGCTTTTCTCAGATTTCACATGCACACCTGTCTTAAAGCAAAACCTCAATTATATCAGCCATGAAAAAAAAAAAATCCCATTCATTAAAGGAATCCACCTGCATACACACATTAACAGGGCATCAGCTACTCCGATTCCCAGCTTTCCTGGCTGGATTGACTTCCCCCTGTAATCTTCAGCTCGCAAGATCATACCTTTGTGGGTGATGGAAGCAAATCAGAGATAAGACCTGTTAATTCCCTATCTCCTCCACATTTTTTCTTGAAGGTTGAAGGGAGAGAAGATGACAGGGAGTCAGTAATTATTCTTCCTAGATTCAGAGCAAGCTCAAATAAGCAGAGCGTGCACCACTGCAGAGAGCACTTTCATCAAAACCTGTTCTTATACATGTCAGAGAGAGATACTTGAAGGTAATATTTATTTTTTTAAGTTTACAGGTGATACATCATTTACAAAAAAATTACAGACAATGCATCTTTTCAGTGCAGTTTCAAACTAGTTCAAGAACACGCAAAAGTCCGTGATGATTTGGAATGCTAGTATTTGACAGCACATGCTTTTTTTTCCCTTAATTGATTGGGTGGGGTAAGAAATGGTACAGGTAGGGTGAAGAGGAGAAAATGCCAATGTAAATAAGGCCATGCGAATAAAAACTCCTCAGGACACATCAGTCAGTCTGGCATATATTTGTTCTCAGGTAATTGATGAAGAGAGTGGAAATTCCAGAAGACATTTGACACTTGTTATGTGCAGTGCCCTTAGAAGCTGCCAGTACCTTCCAAGGCTTTCAATTCTACACCAACACTGTGATTTCAGATCACCTACTGAGCTAGCTAAATAGAATGATTACATCTTTATGTCTACTCTCCACTATTTGAATTCTCAACTGTAGTTGCTGGGAGAAAGGAAGGTCAAGTTGAAAACAGAAGCTGCTGCTATATGGTGGCACAACTAGAGGAAGAAGACAGTTTGACCACAGCATGGTTCATTTCTTTAAAATATGAAATACATTAGACAATTCAGCACAAGCAAATGTATGATTTCAGGATGGAAAGAAGCCCAAATTAGTGTATCATAAATTAAGCTACATCAGTTAAGTATTTGCCTGAGTTTTATCCAGACACATCAACCCAGGAAGAGGCAAGACGGACTGACCAACTTCCATACGAGAAAGATCAACCCAAAGCAAGAGAGCCCTCTGTGAAGTTCCTAGCTAGACGAAGATGGTTTATCCTAGTATTTAATAATTTGCCAATCTGCTATTTGCTTCCTTTCTACAGTATTTGTAATCTTGGCCAAGACAGGGTCCTAAACAACTAGGAAACCAGTACAGATTCTAAATCCATTATCTGAAGTTTTAGCCTATGCTTTGTTCCTTATCTCACTGAAATCTGCAAATGGGCTATTACAAGGAGCAGATCAGAACACAGCAGTTTCTAGAGACTGAAGAAAATTTACACGGTCTATTAGCTGTTACATCTAAGCAAGAACGGCAGAGATTACAAAGATTATATGCAGGCATGACCTTACCTTTGGCAGCTCTACTCCCAGCAGTGCTTTCTGCTCTTGAAGATCCCTCTGAACCCTCCAGAACAATTTCCTGTGACATTCAAGTAACGACTGCTGCACAGAAAAACAGCCTTTCTTCCAGTAAAACCTACACTGAAGCAGTGTTACCTGACCTCTTTCCAACCTTTTTACTAACCCTCCTATACAGTACACTAGGGCCTTCTGGAGTGAGGATAAAGACTACCAAATTAATTCCCTAATAGCTGCCACAGTACTATTTCTAAGTAAGTTATGCAGAGAGTGGGAGGGGCTTTAAGGGAAGATTGTGCATGCTTGCATATATTTACAGGGATTCTCTCCACATCTACTGACTTAAAAAAAACCCTCTATTATTAAACAGTTTCAAAATTAATTTTTTTCCTTTTTTGCAAAATTAAAATCAACCCTCAAGGATTAACTGCATATAAAAAAGAAACCTATTTTACAGCACTGACTAATATTACCTTTAAAATCAACAGGAAAAAACCCCACATGCTGTAATATTGTTTGATAAAGCAAAAATCGCCCACAACATAATCACCCAAAATGAACCAGTGTGAAGTTTTTATTTGCATGGCCAAAATATCTTCCTTTTGTTCCCCTGCAACTTTATTTTCCCTTAACACTCTTTAAGGTTTTTGCTGCAGAAGGAACAAGATGCAAGACTGCATACTTCCTTGAACAACCACTCCCACAACACCTAAACATTTAACAGATGTAGCAAATGACAACACCACGAACAGGAAAAAACTAAGTTCCACCATTCAACATGGTCTGCAACAGCGTCTTTAGGGCTGGCTGAAGTGGGCAACTTCACTTTAGAAGGTCATTTCCTCACTGTTTTTTTACAGTGTTGGTGGTTTCAATCCATACTTCTTTGCAACTTCTGTCTGGGCATAGG